AGAATGACATCAATGTTGGTTGGGTATGTGCATATTTATGAAATTAATATGTGAGGGTTGTAATTGTGTTTGGAGCTGCTGTCTTTGGGGCTTGGTCACAAAATGTCATCATCGCAACTACGCAATTGGGTCCATACAGGATTCAGAGGAATGCTACTATGAGACTTCCAAAAAAAAACACATGAAGGGCGTTCCTGCCGAACGGTTTTGGAGTCTAATGTGTGGACCCAAAACGCCTAGATTGCAAATGAGGCTCGTTGCCAATATGGAGACAATTGTTGTTGGTCATGGACCTAAATCCATAGGCGGAGCCGCGAGCCTGCAGATCCCCCCTTCTTGCCTCACAACCATATTACTCATGTTCTTCAATGCATTGGGTGCAGCATTTCATCCATCAAGTGTATGACCTACTATGGCATTACTATGGTGTTTTTTTAAAGGCATACACATGAGAAAAGGATAGACATGGGATCTATTGGGAGCCGAAGATCATCAATTGCTCCAAAATGTTGAGAACAAATTGGGGTCACTTTTTAAGGGACCAATGAATTGCCAAAGGAGTTTGGGCGTTGAGTTTTATGTGTGTGTGTGTTTCGGGCACAGTCTTTCTGGAGAACTGTTATTGTTTGTCCTGTGACATTTTGGTAGCCCATTTTTGAGTGCAAAGAACTCACCTTGGTTTTGCGCTTTGGAGAGGGAAAGGGTTGATGACCTGGTTGCAGACTGGGGTTCAGCGATGGTCGCATTTGCGTTGCATATTAGTATACTGCCTAAGGTGAGAGTAAGGACACCTTTGCAAGCCGGTAAGAATTACAAGTCTTAGTTTATGTTTCCACCACAACTGTTTGTTTGCAATGCAATCTTACTTCTGAATGGTCCACTCCAAAAAATAGGGGCCGGCACATAGGACCTAGGATTCTCAATCCACAAACACGTCTCTAAAACAGCAAGCAACACCGTGAGACGCCAACCTTGGTTCAACAAACTCTGGTTGCGCAACCAACGGCACTTCCACGCAGCGCAGCGCTGCGCTGGCGACGCTCGCGACAGGGCAGTTTTACAGACCTTCCTGGACTTTCCAGGCGTTTCGTAGACGCGGATTCGGACGCTGGAACAGCATGAAGAGCATCGCGTGAAATCCTTTTTTGTAGAATTTGTGAGTAAATTTCTTGTGGAATTCAGAGGGATGGTCACTGTTGATTTACCTATGTTTTGGAGTTTTTGCTCCGTTTGATTCGCTGTCGTCACTCACCAACACATAGCGTTTCGACCAATTCTCCCAGCAGATGAGTCGAACAAATATGAGTTTTGGGTGGCACAATCTGTGGATGAAGAAGTCGCGAGGTGGTTTGCATTGAGTTGATATGAGTTGATATTTATCATCCCCGTTTGTACTCAGCTTATTTTGTCCAGTAGTAGGCGGACCACCTTTATATGATCAGGAATGGGAATGAGGTCATACTACACGAAGCTGTTTAAAGTCCGCGCTGTTTCTCAGTGCTGGTTCATTGTTCCTGCCACTTTGTGAGTTGTTTTCTGACACACCAATTGCACCCCGGACCATGCAGCGATCTTGATGTTGCATGACTTCGCAGTGTAATTTGGCATTACAGGACAACCCTCCTCACAAGGCTCTTGCTAAACATCATCATCATCATCATCATCATCATCATCATCATCATCATCATCATCATCATCATCATCATCATCCTCATCCTCATCCTCATCCTCATCCTCATCGTCATCGTCATCGTCATCGTCATCGTCATCGTCATCGTCACGTCATCGTCATCGTCATCGTCAAATAGATTGAGAAAGCTAGCAAATGGGTATTAGCCGAAGATAACCCCAAAAAGCACACGCTTCAATCTCGGTTTATGTTTGTTTCGATCTCGGCATCATCAAAACCTCGTAGCTCGGGACATGTGACATGTGTCGAAATAACTTGAATTTTTAATGTTGTTTTAATTCTCCAGGTGCCGATGGGCGTCTCAACAATGCAGCGGCGGCCGCGTGTACCAGAGGCGGGCGGCTTCGAAAACCACGCAGACTGGTCCGAGCACGGTCCGATCTTGGTCCGGTGGGCAACCGGAAGCATCGGAAGACGTGTTTGCAGCAAAAAGCAATGCAGCGGGAAATTCTTGGGTACATGACATATGCTGGTTATTTAATAATTGGTTGAGGAAGTACGTGAGTCATACATTGTTTTTGGGCGAAATGATGGACTGGAAGTGGTTCATGTTCCTTTACATACCTGTAAAAGGTGGTCTTGGTCCAACTTTGTAGAGGATCCTAAGAGTACACGTTTGTACAGCAATATATGGGTCATGCAGTCATGTTTGGGTCTCAGACACCAAAAATATGGTTCTATCACAGGTATTAGGACCTGAAATGCATTGCACCTCATGATTTGCTGAAAGTGCATGCAGGGATCATGCACAAATGTCAGAGCACCCGTTGGTTTCAGCATTTCAAATGAAGATTGGTGGTTGTTTGATACCCCATGGCATGAAATGCGCTGGCACAAACATCAACTTAGCGTGTGCCAGTGCGGAGTCCGTTGTGGGGTTGGAAGCGAAACTGTGCAGCGGTACATTGTAAGGACCTCAAAGCTGCGCTAATTGGAGCGGATGAGAAACCATGAGCATGCAGATGTGTTCGTATGTAAACTCTTTGCCCTCGCGGCAGTGCAATTTATGGAACGGCGTTGTTGGTTTTGCTTTGGGGGAGGGTACCCGGCACGTGGCCAATCGGCTGGCACATTGACATTGATGCAATGCAGTGTATCGTACAGTTGATCTTTTTTGTGTGTGTGCTACTCGTACTTTAATGTGAGTGAACACAGTGGGTGCGCACATGTCACTGCTGCATAACCATGGCCACGACCATCGGCCGCAGAACGCTCAACCCTCTTCAGCAAAGGATGGTCTTTGTAATTATAAGGCTCCTACAGGACTTTTGCTTACTTTGTTTATTAAAGGGATGTTCAGAAGCTGATACCGAAGCACCATACCCACCACGTGGCGAACTTGTTGCACGCCCCAAGTCACGGGGCCGCGCAGAGAAGAACGAGAAGAAACAGGATAAGGCGAGGACAAGGCGCGAGACACAACGAGTCGGAGGACATGGTCGAGCGCCCCAGGAGTGTGCCAACGCCTTCTTGCTCGTGTGCAGGACCCTCAACAGACTCAGTTTGCACATCAAAAGAACATTCACGCGCGATTCGTTTCCCTCCCGAGTCAATTCGTTTCGCTTCCACAGGACCTTCACAGAGCCGAGCAGGTTTAGCACACTTGAGACCCGTCGCATGATGACTCCACATATTCGACCCGTCAAGATGTTCGACCCCTTGGTTTAGCCAGCAGCTTTCTTCAGCTCGCTCAGATACCAAGAAGACTTTGATGTGGTGAGAGTCACATTGATGTATGACTTGATGGTGAACCGGTGCCACCATGTGACCACCAATATGCCACTGGACGGTTGAATCCTCCGACCCCTTTGACCCCATCTACCTGCCTGACCCCAGGTTTGGCTTGGAGTTCCGCCCTGGAGCTTTTGCAGGCGGATTCGGGGCAATGCTAATTAAGAGTCATAGGCGAAGAGTCAAAGTTAAGGCGGTCATTGTTGTTGGTCATAAGGATTTTATATAGATGTGTGCTTTTCGAGTTCTTCCTTGAACATCGCGCAATACAGTCCATACCTTCAGCGAACCTTGCACTTTACTGCTGATTTAAGCTCCAAACACGGTATTGGGACGCCCTGAACCTGAACGAGATCTTTCAAACACTGCCGCTCCAGGTCATGATTGGCAAATTGGTAACTGGGATCAACTGGCAAACCTCAAGCGGCTCAAGCATTAAGGAATAAAAGTTGCTATTTCCAACTGTTTTCCTGGTTTGCCTCTAGTCTTCCACTGACCCGCACTTCTTCACAAAATCAGACCAACGCCGGGCGAACGCTGGGCAGTACAGGCCATACCTCGGGCGGCGCTGCGGGGCAATCAGGTGACCTTCAACACGGCTGCGGGCGCACCCAGGGTGGGTGACCAATGGCAAGGTCAGAGGACGTGGTAGGTGAAGGTTCAGGAACTCAAGGAGAGAAGTTTCAACAAGACAGCTCTACTATTTAGAATGATTTAGACATACGTTAGATATTGAGTGAGAGTTATATAACAAATATATATATATATAATCAGGATGATAATCAGGACTTAACTTTATTAACAACAATGTGTTGTATTGTTGTTGTTTTTTGACCTATGCTTGCTTGGATGAATGAATGGTTGTAAGTGTGAAGACTGTAATTGTGCACGATACCAACTTAGCTTGGCTTCATGGGTTTTCATCTCTCACCCTTTAGTATACACACACATTGGACCACGATCTCAGATCTTCACATCAGTAATCAGTAGTGATAGAGATGTCTAATCTATGGAATTTCCAGCCGGGGTGGATGGGAAAGGAGCAAGCTTTGGCCCTGGCCCTCCACCCAGCAACTTAGACCTGGACAGGACCTTCAACGACCCAAACAGGTGGTAGGGCCTGGAAGGGGGTAGGGATGGTAGGGATGGAGACCGGCGGAGAGTGGAGCAATTGATGTGTCTCGCAAACAAACAGATCGTCTTCCAGGAGGGGTTGAAAGATGTTTCTTAGCTCAAAAAGGTCGATGTCCTTTGTGTTGGGGAAGGGAACTTCTCGCAAGACCCAGGGAGATAGTTTGATGAGTTAAGGATGCATGCTGCATGTCGCATTGACCCCTTTCACAAGGTATATGACTGGAAAACAATAAACACCAGCATGCTGAAGCAATGGGCTGCGACAACAACAGAACGTGTACTAATTTATATAGTACGTTCCACCTCATGCTCCCTGTTGTCTTGGGTTTCAGGCTTCAGTCTCTTGCTTTCGTTATTCATTGGGTCTTGCTAGCCGGTTATGTTCCTGAGACACTTCAAGCATGTTCTGTAAGAATTGCGCAGAACTGTGGGATTTCATTGATGTTGAATATGTCGATGTTGGAACTTCCCGCATGTGCGGATTTAGACTCTTCTACCTAAAACCATCAACCTGTTCAACTACCGCACTGGAAGCATCATTAAGTTTAAAGTTTAAAGTATATTCTTGGAGGCCCCCTTGTTCCGAGCTGAGGTGTGATCGAACTTTGGTTTCTCTTGTGTGTTCATGAGTCATGGGCTTCCCCACTTCAAGAGATTGCTGGAAGTGGACTTTGTTTGTCATCCTTTTTCACTTGGCATGTTACGCCCCTTGCGTACCCACGTAGCAAGCGACGGCTATCGAGTTCAGAGGCCTACAACTAATGCTAGTTCTAGATGAGATGTGGTAGAATTTTCCGAGTCCCCTGCAGTCATAGCTAGTGCATTCATAGCTAGTGCTCGTTGCAACGCACCCATTCGGCCTCGATGTCCGATTCAACGCCTCTCCTATAGAGATTGGGAAGATCCGAAATTGGGACCAAGAGAGCTATGTGTGTGTTGTGCGCTGCATTGCTCAAGTATACAGGACATGCAGATCTGCTTGTTTTCTTGGAACAACACAGCATGGTTGGAATGACATGCTGCTTTCACAACATGACATAATGAGAGATATTTGAGAAGCTCACCAAGTTTCGCAGCTTTTGAAACATTCTCCACTCCTGACCTCTTACCCTTTACCAGATCTCACCGCCATGTGGGCCCGAGCGAAGCCGCAGCGAGCGGCCAACACCGCGGCGCTGGCTTTTCGGGGCACCGCCTCATACCGAGAGCTGCCGCTGGGGTGTGGAGAGCGAAGATGCAGCAAATTTGTTTGTTGAGGTCAAAGACCTTGCTAAGACCCTGAATGATGTTGTAGCAAGGTCATTGAAAGGTTTTGCACCTTGCTTGTACAAAGCAAAACCACCGTCACCGGCTAAAGTTCGGGCTGACACTTTGGACTGGAGTAAGCTGAGAACTGTGGGATCGATACTGTGGGATTACACTGGTTTGTTGGGTTTCCTGGAAGGCATTGTTTCACTTTTTGAAGCTGGAGTCCTTTGCCCAGGTTTTTGTGGGTCAGTGCTCCGAAGGCGCTAGCGGAGAAGTGCAGAACCTCAAGTGGTAGTTAGAGTTGGTGTTTTTACATGCGCAGTAAAGCAAATTCAGTCTGAGTCTTTGGTTCCACTGGGACGAGGTGATGTAGGAGAATCGCTTATATTTCTTCCAACGCCACTCGTTTCGCTCGTTTCCCACTTGCAGGTCGCCGTACTGGACATCAACGGATAACCGGACTGTTCGCAGATGAGGGCTACCGGCTACCGTATCAACATGAACAACATTGTGGATGGCAGACAGGGGATAGACATGAATCCAAAAGAAACTGGTTGCTGTTTTTGAGGTGGTGAAGTAGTGAAGCTACATAGGTGGCAAGCATATGTTTGTGGGGGAAATCACTATCGGCATCTCACATAGCGAGCGTTTGCAGTTGAACATCTTATATATAGGGCAAATGAGGTTCTCACATGGTAGAACCCAGACATGTCGATCTTTCTTGGACGCGCCATCCTAGGTCGCGCACGGACGGGGTACCGGGCTTCCCCAACGTGAATGCACGCTTCAAGCAGGCTGGGGTGGCACCGACGTTTATATATGTTAGTCCCTTTTGCTTGAATTCCTGGTTGATGCGATGTGGAAGGCCTGAGTAGTGTTTTAGTGTTGATGGAAAGCTCACGGCCACCAACGCACCATATGTCGACATATGTGATATAATTGCGGTGGTTCTTTGGGCCTCCTATGTTCAAACGGTTTACAGGAACATGCAGGAAAGGGCTAACGGCTAACTGATGGTGATTCATGCATGTTCTTCAAACATGTTCAGAACGAAGCATCACTTTGCACAAGTTTTACCCATGTCCAGAGTCCAGAGTCATAGACATGGGGAAAAACTAGACTCTAGACATCCTTTTCACTCCTTTAGCGGTGGCGGTGGGCAGCCTGGCTGGGTCTTGAGATGCACGACTCACCGACAAACCATTCGGGGATTTGCAGTTCTTATGGGGCCATGGTGGGGGGTCCGATATAGTGCAGATGTTCTTCAATGATCAGAGCAGACCTGTGCATTCGAGGATACTTGATGAGATGGCATTGGCCCACATGCCCACCAACCAGTTGGTGAAGAACATGTCTCAATTCCATCAATCAGGTCCATCCCCTGACTTGGGTAAGGATTCTTGGTTGTTTCTAAATCCTAAAATTCCCAAAACACTGCAATTGGTCTACAAAGTCAGAGTTTTTCCATCCCACCGCCTAAGCATCACGTACCCTCAAGAGGTGAAGCTTCCAATGCATCCACCGCTCTTAGAATTGCTCGGATTCACCACCGGACCACTCGGACCTGGGATGGATCACCCCAGAAAGGAACGTCGTCAGGCACCGGGCACATCTTAGAATTAAATGAACGAATAGCTTCTTGTTACTACTAGTAAGGCACTTGTTACTAGAAGCGATGCACTTGTTCCTAGTAGCTTATTGTTTCTAATATCCTCTCCTTTTTTTGCTCGGTTGCCCTGGTGCCCCTTGCAAGATTGCTCCACAGGAGCCCCCACGGAAGCGACTGCTGCCTGACGAGGAGGGCATCGCCGGAAGCGGGGTTTGCGCACATGTGGTGGTGGGGCTTGAGGAGTTTCATCAAAGCCGTCAAAAGCGCAACAAACCATTCTTGCGAGTTGGTCAAATTCAATTGACAAGTGATCAAGAGGAACAGGATGGAAGAGTGTTTTTGGGGGTGTACAGATGATGGGTTACACAGCGCCACGTGATGGTGCTCGGAGGTTGCCGTAGCCACAGCCTTTAGACTCCACGACTTTCAGGGAGTGTAGGATACCCTTAATTCTACTGGTAACAAGTGCATCGCTTCTAGTAACAAGTGCCTTACTAGTAGTAACAAGAAGCTATTAGAAGTAATTACACTTAATTACACTTAACCTATGCCGCAATGCCATTGCTTTCTTGCCACTTGCCACTTGCCGCTGGTACATACCTTGGTGCTGCAAATCCTTGGCGCTTGGGTTCGATCCCACCGAGATCGCTGAGCAACACGGACCGCTAAAGAATGTGTTAGGACTAACTATTCGCTGGTAGTACCTGAACATTTTCGAAGATGGATTTGTTTCCCAAACACTACCAACCACTCCATGTATGCCATATTTACCTAAATTGGGGTGGTTCCAGGGGTCAATGTAGTGTTATATGCCAGTCCCATGGATGGTCCGGGCTTGTGAATGTTTGTGTGTGTGTGACCCACAGAGTGTTTACGAGCCTTCCCGTAAGGACAACCGCTGTGGTCAGCCAAGCCAAAGACATTGGCAGTCCACTTGGTTGGGAGCCCAGGATTTTGGCGCCGTGTCACGATCAACAGATAGAATCAGGTCATCAAATCCCCCAGAGGAGGGCCTGCCCCCAAAAAAACAAGGAAACCAGAAAGATAGACGCCTCAGAGTTGTTACCTTTCACTCATTCCATTCTTTGTCCACCAGCACAGTCGAGCCCTGGGAAGTGGATGGTGGCTGAGGAGATCTGATGAAACATGGAGTCAGTTCGCATTTTCACCAACTTTCCAGTTTGCTCATACCCGATTTTGGAAAGAACATTGTTCCACCGCGGAGTTGGCTCTATACAGCACCTAATTGTCTTTGTCCACAGACACGGTGATTTCCGCGGAGGAACAAAAGAACAATGATAGTTGGACAAATTGGAAAAGCGAGGAAAGGACCCTGGCCCGGGTGTTGTTACCCACCTGCTTGGAGGACCCCACCTGCACCGCCTCTGCCGCCCCAAACTGTGCACTGACGCTCACGCGCCGAGGTCCGAGGCAGAGGTCCGGCAGGCCGCGAGGGACCATGCGATGCTCACCTGGAGCCTCGGCTGAGCGCGCCAACCGCGGAGGTTCTGAATGATCCGCAGCGAAGGGACCTTGCAGAGGTGTTCTTTTTTGGAAAACGGAAGGTTACTGCCTGTGTTAAGCTTAGATTTGCTGCGCTTAGATTGTTC